CTACACTGTTGTATGTTACTAATTTTTTTTTTTTGTTTGTCCTCAACCTCTTTATGCCAAGGAGAAGTTATGAAACCTAGTCTTTCTTGTTGAGGTTGGTAATGTACATAGCTAATTCTGTGTATATATTTCTAATGCTTGCATCTATCAGAACATATTATGCTTGTGCAAGGAATTTCCTTTCCTGCCCATTTTGGAATAATTTACTACTTCCTGGGCAAAGAGCATACCTGTTTCAGAATTAGTGCAGTACCCTACAAGTGTGCTTCGTTTTTGTCTCCAAGCACTCCCATTCATTATGAGCAGTCGCTTTCTTTGTGGTGTCTATGTTATGTGCCTAAACTGGCCCCTCCATCTTTGCAATGTGGATCTAGCTTTGTGTGAGAGGAGGTAAGACCATGTCAGAAGTTATTACTCCATCCTCTTACACCATTCCTCACCACAGCCAGTGTTCTTCTTTTAGAGCCTTTCAATTCTCAAAAGTGAGAATTGAGCAGAAATATCAGAAGGAGCTAGCTGTGGCAGTATAGGTGGCATAATGCTATTGGTGGAAAGTACTCACATGATATGTACATATTCAGAAATGACATGAAATTGATAAGGTATATAGACTCGTGTGCTGATTGCAGAAAATTTTTAGCAATGTTTAGAGGGCAGAGATAAAGATCAAGATGGCTTTGGTTAAGGACTACATGATTGATTTTTATAATTCAGAGAAATCAAAGTGGAAAAAAAAGTAACAATACGTGTACTTGAACATGTTAAAACCTGTTTCTGCAGTATAATTAACCTTCTGTGAAAATTGTAATAGTGTACTAGTACAACTTTATGTGTAATTTAAAAGTCAAGTGAATAATTTATGTAGCTCCAACTTTCCAAGGCTGTAACATGTATTTCATTTTTCCAGTTTGTTTCCACTGCTGTTGAAAGATGGTCTGGTTATACCCTTCTTTTGTTTACTACTTTTATATCTGGTTATTGTGTTTAAAGCTTATGGACACATGAGTCTTGGCTTCCGAGATGGTTGGAAACAAAGGGTCAAAACGTTAATGGTATGTTTTCTCTTGGTCTTTTTTTTTCATAATTATGAGTGTATATAAAGTTTCTAATAATTGGCTGAATTATTAGGGTGTCTCAAAATTTTTATATATCTAAAGTAATGATGCAGAAAAATACAATATTTATAAAACTTTATTTACTGATAGTGTTAAAGAATAAAGCTTTTCCTACAAGATAAAGTTTTCTCCTACTTTTTAAATTTTGTAACAAAGTAAGAAGGATATAGCTTAACAGGGTTTTTCTTCTGTACATCAAAAGTATTTATATAAATAAATCTATCTATTCTCCTCTTTCAGCACGCTTTTACCGTTTCTTTAACAAGTATTTTTCTTTTTTCTCTATCATGGTTGTATATTTACTTTGTGTGCACTATTTACAGTAAATTTTTCTCCACTGTTTACATGTATTGGATTTTTTTTATCTATTCAATATATTTTCTTCACATAATAGTGGTATACATTTCCTAGTGGTTTTCATTACATTCATTCAGGGATCAGTCAATAAACCAAGTGACTAAATTTCTCGTTTACAGTTAGTTATTTGTTTATATACTAACCTTATTACTTCTGTTTTTGTTTTTCCACAGTTTGTATTTTCTGTAACAGGATGTGGAATCCTGACAGTGGTACACTTAGCTGTAGCTCCACCATCTCGTTATCCAGACCTTCATCCTGTTCTGAACTGTTTGTATAGTTTCTCTCATTACCTGATGTTTACAGTGTATTTTCACAAGCTCCAGTTCTGTGCAACAGATGAATCAATCACAGCTAAGGAACAATTTACAAAATTGAAAATATTCCCTTCATCATGCAGCTCAAAAACAAAACTTAAAGTAGAATAAAACATGTTTTGTGAAGTATAATGCTGATACTTACAAATGAATAAAGTAGTCACTGTTTATCTCTTAAACCTGTTTTACTTGTTAGCAGCTACAATTCCTGTTTGAGTACTGCATACATGTCCATGTCATGTTTAAAAATGTGTCTTTTGTATTCATCCTTGTTCAGTACAAACCAACTCACTCACTTAAGTGCTGTCAGGTATTCTTTGTATTAAATTATTTCTGTTTTGGCTTTAGCAGTTAGTAAATTTAATAGTGAAAGATTTTTGTGTGTTTATTTGATTCTGGGATGTTATTCTAGGTAAGATCCTGACTTATAAAACTGCAAGTGAAGCGGGAGATTTTTAAGGGAAGTTTTGTTTGTGTTTCATCTGTTTATTTACTAGAGATTGTGATGGTAACCTTCAAAACAAACAAAGCTCAGCATAAATTCTCTCTCTCTTCCATAATTTTCAAGAAATCCATGCAAAAAATATTCTGTGAATAAATGGAACACTGCCATATTTGTATAAAACTGAGAATAAAAGAAACTTTAAAAAGTTAAGTGGAGACTTTCAAGTGTGCAATTTTTTAACATGTCACATAGAAAAATATCAAAAATAACTTTAAATTTTGACTAGAAATATTAGCTTTGTGTTTGAATGCAATATAATGAGTTGTTTCTTTAAGTAATGCTATAATGTTTGTGAAATTTTCTTTTCAGCTACAACTTACGTTTGTTTGCATTTATGTGTTATAAATATGTTTAATTACAAGTTATTCATGTTTTGAAGCCTTTTTTTTTAGTTTCTCCTTTTTTTTAAATTGGGGAGGCTTTTAAAAAGTCTGTTTGCAGTTTGAACTTTGTAGTGAATTTCTAGTCAAAAACACTTACCAAACAATGTTGTATGAACTATTTGGAAACCTGAAACAATACTCAATTTAGTGCATTTCCATGAAATTTACAAAATATATATACAACTTCTACACAAGACATATTTTTTCTTTCTAAACCAGAAATACTTTTTTAACAATTAGAATTAAACATGAGATATTGTTAAACTAAGAAAAAATTATTTAAAAAAATCATTAAAACAAAAGTACTTCCTGAGAATTTTTTATATTGTATAGACACACTGGAAGCGATCTTAAAAATATCGGAGAATGGTTGAAAATAGTGAATAAAATTAGATTGTAAGTTACATCTCATTTTAGTAAAATTGTGTTCAACATTAAAATGTGTTTTATTAACTTTCCTGTTTAAACTTGTAATTTTAAGATGCACTTTGATTATTAAATTACTTTGAGGTTTTCATATCAGTTACTCTAAGCATTTAATTAACTGAAATAATACACAAGTTGGATTTCTGGTTTCTCCCACTTAGTTTCAGGGAGTATCAATACCCTAACGTTGTAGAAGATTGGATCACAGAATTATGTAAGTTATTAAAATTTCTTGGATGATTCAACTTTTTATGGCTGTGTAACTTTGGTAAAATTTTCTTAAAAAACTTTAATAATTTCAACTCGGGAAGAAAAAAAACAGATAGTTTCAAATGTAGTTTGTAATTGGAATGCATAGTATTGAGACACATAGCACTATCAGGGTAAAGAAACGATTAATTAATTAATTTACATTTTTCTCTTGATACTTGCATTCTAATTTTGTAGATTTCTGAAAAAAATAACTGGTTGGTAATGTAATAACCTAAATGATTTGATATGTGAGAGTCATTTTTATCTGTGTTGGTGATTATGCGTAATATACATCTTGAAAAGAATTAAAACCCCTATTAAATTGTTCTAGTGTTTTTTTTTTGAGAAACTGGTTGTTTACCAGATATGCAAGTTGGCTGAAACTTCAATTTTTTATATAGGTAACAGATGTTTTCATACAACACACAATCCATAATTGTCCAAATTATCAGTGTTGTATGGATTAATCTTAATCCTTGTGTGATTAAAATCTGTTAGCTTTCTGGAACAAACAGATGGGCCTTGTCTCATTTGATAATGATAATTTATTTGTTACACAATTTTTCAGAATCAAGTAATCAATAGCATGTTGTGTAGTTATAAAAAAATCGCTTCATTTAGCATGTATAGTGTAGTTGATATGACAGAAGTATTTTTAGTCAAACTGCATATGGCTTAAATTGACCTTTTAACAACCACTTAATATTGACTACATATTTCTTAACCTGAGTCGATCGTACAGAAATTGCCATGTTTTGGAAGCAATTTTGAACAAGAAAAAATCCGATAGAACAATTATTATGATGAAACTTTTTTTTTTCTGACGCCTCCCCCCCCCCCCACTCAAAAAAAAAAATATCGTTCACTCCCAACAGTTTGAGAACAACTGATCTAATACAATGAAAATGGTTATAATGAAAATAATAAATTATTATGTTTTTGTTATTCCTTCAGCCTCGCAGTTTTATTGTCTTGTTTTGATTGGATTTCAATGTTTCTGGAAGAATTCTCTTTGTGATCGCGGTGGGACAGCCTTAAAGCTACGGACTTACAACGCTACAATCCCGGGTTTGGTTCCCCGCGATGGACACAGCAGATGGCCCAATGTGTCTTTGCTGTAACACTAGCAAACAAACAAACAGTCTTTTTTTGTGATCGTTTTAACTTCAACGAAAACCCCATCGTAACTGTATCCACAACATGTGCAGTTCATACACTAACTTCTGTTCGATCGATTTTTAGGTTTAATAATCTTCCAAAAAACAATAGGCGGACTAAGTAAAATATGACATGTTCATTAATTATTATTATTAATTAGTTATTAATTTTCGATATGCAAATATTTAGTCCTTAATTTTGAAAAAAAAAGTAAAACATATAATTTAAAAAGGACTATTACCAAGGCATTAAATAAAACCTTTTTCACTTTAAGGATTTGGATCTGGAAGATTTGCTAAAATACGAAGGTGATTAAAAAGTTATCCTTTTGATAAATACCATATTCCACCCAATCTTAATAAACTGCATATTTACCCAATTAGTTAAAAAATAAACCACATTTAATCAACCTATAGATAACCAGCACTTTTTTCCATGATTTGAGTGTATAAGTTTAATGACAGTTAAAAATTTGCACATTTAATTACGATTACACTGTAATAGCTTTGTTCTTTTTTTTTTTAACTGCCATCAATGCTTCATTATTGACCAATCAAAAAATGTATAAAACCTTTTGAATTAAATGCAAACACCAAAAATTTTTATTAATGGAACTTCAGTATTTTCGGAGGTGGATACGTCATTCTTCTTCAGGGCATTTTTTAAAAATATTTTGAACGTGAATGGCACCTTATATTAGGTCACTCTTCAAGGCATTTTGTTTTAGTATTTTCAACGTGAATGGCACCTTATATTAGGTCACTCTTCAGGGCATTTTTTATAGTATTTTCATCGTGAATGGCACCTTATATTAGGTCATTCTTCAGGGCATTTGTTTAGTATTTTCATCGTGAATGGCACCTTATACAACAATAATGGACTAAAAGGCCAAAGTTCGGGTGTAGCAGTCTTGGAGATTCTGGTCAGAAGGACAAATAAGTCAGTATTACCAGCCTAATAAACGTCTTCTCTTGACCGTATAGCAGTATTAGCTGATATGGAACAGTCGGCGGCTCAAATGTCAACCTTTGATCCGTAGTCCGGCACTAACCAGTATGCTACGCTCGACCTCTTCTGCAAGAAAGTTTGTTTTCGGATATTCGCGCAAAGCTTCTCAAGACTCTTTGCACTAGACATCCTAATATCATGAAAGGAATTGAAGAATGCTATTTTAGGAAACTTCGTGATCAATTTCACTTAAATTGAGTGTTTAATAACTCGGTAATAAAATACATCAAAACAATATGTGTATATATATATATATATTTCTTTCGTTACCAAGTAGATCAATGGTTTTTTTTTTTTTGGATAAAAATAACACGCTTCAGTTTTTCTTGTTAAAGTAAATAGAACAGTGACACAATCTGCGACATAATATAACAACTTTTTGTTAGCCTCAAAGATTGATCAACATTCATTTATGTCCTTCAAATTACTCAAAATGTCCAATTTTACTTAATAACGCTCAACATTTTTTACGATAACTTAAACTAAGACCTGTAAAAATAACAATTGTTTGATCGTTTAAGCGCAAACCTACACAACAGGCTTTCCACTTTCTGTTCGCTGTAGTGACTGAACCATGAATTTTAGCGTTATAATTCCTGAAGCCTACTGCTAAGCCACCAGGGGTACACATAAAACAATTAAAATATATTAGACAAATAGTTCAACACTAAATACATTTCATTGCGTCACTTTCTGTATTATACTAACTCATCATAGTTAAAAAATTTTCTATATTTTATAAGTTTGTTTTTTGAATTTCGCGCAAAGCTACACGAGGGTTATCTTCGCTAGCTGTTCCTAATTTAGCAGTGTAAGACTAGAGGGAAGGCAGCTAGTCATCACCACCCACCGCCAACTCTTGGGCTACTCTTTTACCAACGAATAGTGGGATTGATCGTCACATTAGAACGCCCCCACGGCTGAAAAGGCGAGCATTTTTGGTGGGACGGGGATTCAAACCCGCAGATTGCGAGTCGAGCTCCCTAACCACCTGGCCATGCCGGGCCTATTTGATAAGTAGACAGACAGTGGTTTGACTGAGTTCTATAATGTCAAAATCTTGTTGTTCTTCTGTGTAAGAAATGTCCACAGTTGCTTAGTGGTAACTCCGAAGACTTATAACGCTAAAAACCAGGTTTCTATACCCAGTGGCACAGCGGTGTGTCTGCGGACTTACAACGCTAAAATCCGGGTTTCGATATCCGTGGTGGGCAGAGCACAGATAGCCCATTGTGTATCTTTGTGCTTAATTACAAACAAACAATTCTATACCCAAGATATGCACAGCACAGGTAGCCCATTGTGTAGCTTTGTGCATAACTACAAACAAACAAAAAGAAGGAAATTGAGTAAATTTATGAAGGAAATTATAGCTGGTATACTCGTCTCCTGGAAGGAAGTTA